TGTTCGAGCGCGTGTTGATGATTGTCGAACACGAATCACCACTTACCACATGCTTCTGCGTGACACCTTCATCCAAAGTCCACCGGCATACTCAACTGCTTGATGATACAATCTCCTCTTCAGGTTGGGTTGCAGTTGCTTCTTCCAAGCTACTCGCTTTCTTCATGTTGCATCGTATTCTTCTTCGACCCTTCACTCCTTCGTCAAGCTTCTTTAGACCATTAATTTCGACGTCACCATCCACTCACACACTTCTTCTGCAGCGTACAATTTCACTTACCGCCGTCAGAATGGCTCAAGAATTTAAACTGAAAGACCTGACGACGTTGTCGGACCTCAAGAACACCGACAAGAAAGAAGCAGAGGTGGAGGGCATAGAAGGTGGAAAGGTACTGATTGTAAAGGTGCAAGATCAACTTCATGCTCTCAATGCGAATTGCACTCACTTTGGAGCTCCTCTGAAAAACGGGGTTGTGACCAAGGAAGGACGTCTGACGTGTCCATGGCACGGAGGTCAGACTCTCGCTCTCGTGTGAGCAAGCTCGTGCTGACACAGTGCAGCATGCTTCAATGTCAAGACTGGTGATGTCGAAGACGCCCCAGCGCCAGACCATCTCCACAAGTTCGATGTCTTCGAGAAGGACGGCGCAGTGTATATCAAAGGCGCCGAGGCCGACATCAAGGCCGGACGAAGAAAACCAACCTTCAAGGTCAAGTCGGCAGGCCAGGAGAAGGTGGTCATCGTTGGAGGGTACGTCTCTCGATACACGCCCATATTATATGGTTACAGCTAACACGCCAACAGTGGCTCCGGCACATTCGGCGCCGTCCAAAAGCTCCGCGAACACGGCTTCAGCGGCAGCATCACCGTCATTACCAATGAAGGCCTCCCCATCGACCGCACCAAACTCTCCAAAGCCCTCATCACCGATCCCTCCAAAGTCTGGCTAAGAGACGAACAGTGGTACAAGGACGCAGACATCAGCTTCGCCAGCGATACCGTCACAGCCGTAGACTTCAAGTCCAAATCGGTCTCCACCAAATCCGGCTCCTCCTACTCCTACACCAAACTCATCCTGGCCACCGGTGGCACACCAAAGATGCTTCCCCTGCCGGGCTTCAAAGACCAATCAAACATCTTCGTCCTCCGCCAAATTCCCAACACCAAGGAGATAATGGGCGCAGTCGGCGATAAAGGCAAGAAAATCGTCATTGTCGGCTCCTCTTTCATAGGCATGGAAGTCGCCAACGCCCTCGCCAAAGAAAACGAGGTAACAATCATTGGCATGGAGCCCGCCCCTCTCGACCGCGTCATGGGCTCCAAGGTCGGCCAGATTTTCCAGCGCATCCTCGAAAAGAACGGAGTCAAATTCGTCTTGAATGCCGAAGTCGACTCAACAGTCCCTAAATCAAGCATCGCCAACGCCGTCGGTCTCAGCTCAGTCGGTGGCGTCAAACTGAAAGATGGCACCGTCTACGATGCTGACTTCGTCATCCTGGGCGTCGGCGTCGCACCAGCAACAGAGTATCTCAAGGGTAACAGTGATGTCCAACTGGAAAAAGACGGCTCTCTCTCCGTCGACGAGAATTTCGCCGTCAAAGGTCTAACAGACGTTTACGCGCTTGGTGACATCGCGACATATCCCTACCACGGTCCTGGTGGCAATGGCAAGCCTGTTCGTATCGAGCACTGGAATGTCGCGCAGAATATGGGCCGCACTGTCGGAACCGCCATTGCCAAACCGGATCTCGAACAACACCCCTTCGTCCCTGTTTTCTGGTCCGCTTTGGGTAGTCAGCTGCGGTACTGTGGACATACGCCTGACGGCTTTGACGACGTGATCATTACGGGAGAGCCGGATGCTGATCAGCCAAAGTTCGTGGCCTACTACACGAAGGGAGAGGATGTGGTGGCTGTGGCGAGTATGATGAAGGATCCCGCCATGACGAAGGCCGCCGAGTTGATGAGGACTGGACAGATGTTAACAAAGAGTGACCTGAAAAATGGGAAGGATGTGTTGAGCGCAAGTCTATAGTGGTTAATAAGGTTTACCAGGATCTGACTAAATAAACAAAATGCTCGGCAAAGTATAGGTACGAAAAGACTATAGGTTCTGTGTATTCTTTGCCCCTAACCCGATCCACCACCATTTCGGAAACACCACCATTCCGGAAATCCACGATTATCCACCACTTCCATAGCCTGTCCATCTATAGCTGCAATAGCAAGCCACAAAATCATGGATAATCGATTTGAACGTGAGCAATGCATTCAACGTGCCCTGCAGGCCGCTCGAGATGATCCTGATCACAATATAACGAAAGCCGCAGGTGTTAAAGGCGTATCCGGATCCACTATTTGGGATCGCAGCCGCGGTACCTATTTCAAACTCTATAGGCTACTAAGTTATACTAAGCTGTCTAATAAACAGGAAAGAGTACTTATATAGTATATTCTACGTCTATAATAATAGTATAAGCCTATTAACTATAAGAAAATACGAGTTTTAGCTAATTTACTAGCTATAGAAAATATCGCGATACCTAAATTATTCGAATTAATTAGTTATAACTAAACCTCCCTTTAGATCGAGTTTAAAACGGGGCTTCTAAAACCTTAACCTCTCTATATAAAAAACGGGGCCTAAGAGTGTTAAGAATAGCAACCCTAAAAGGGGTAAGTCCAACCTAGAGTGGACCAGTTAGTCCACCAGTGGAGCCAGTTAGTTAGTAGCCTCCCTGCCACTTAACTAACCTCTCTCTTTTAGTACCCCCTATAGGGGCCAGCCATTCATTTATCCCTGTTATAGGTGTATATATATAGGGACTATCGGCGCGTATATAGAACAATAATAAGTCATTCATTTACTATCTACCTACCGCTACCTTCCAATCTTAATAAAGAGATATACTCTAAGCCTAAACCTAATTTATATAAAATATAAGGCGAGTTAAGGCGGGTTTTACTAAGCTATACTAAGTTTATATATTAGATTTAGCTTAACTCTAATAAAAATCTAAAATAATATTTTATTCTATTTTTTTTAGAAAATATTATTATATTTAGTATATATTAGCGCGCTCTATACTAAACGAGATTCTAAACGAGTTTTAGGTCGAGGTATAAAAATCTATTACCCCTTTATCCGGGTAATAAAACGAGGCCTAAAATAATCTAACTCGCTCTAAACCCTAACGAGTTAGATTACTTATATAAGTTTCCCCTAACTTAAGAGAGCTTTAGTTATAATTAAATTAAGCGATTTATTACTTACTATTTAAAGTTTAAATTAAAAAAAGAATAGTACCTCGAGATTAAGCGTATAGCTATAAGTAATTTAAGTATAATAACGACCTAGTTTAAAGCCGTAGAAAGTATTTTAAACGACTCTTAAATTAAGTTTAATAATATCTAGAACGCGAATAAAATTAAGGCGCGCTATAATTATTACTAGTTAAAATATATAGTATCTAATGATAAATAGAGCCCTTTAGTATTAATTATCTCTTTTAAGATTAGCTAAACCTTAGTAATTAAATATATAAACGCTTAGGGTCGAATAATTAAATTATTAGTTATTTACTAAGGCGAGAAGCCCCTTTAATCGTTTAATTAATAGTTTCCTTTAATAATAAACTATTTATATTAGTATTAGGGCTTTACTAAGAAGAGTTAAACCTCTAATAAATATAAGGATAAATAATTTATTAAGATATTCCTTTTATAGACCTAGGATAATAATAAGAAATATATTTTCTTTATAAACGCCTATCGGAGTTATATTATAAGTAATATTTAGAACTATACGCGTCGATATAATATTATAATTATTTAGATTCTCTTTTATATATTTTATTTATTATAACTACTTAACTAGTAGTTATTTACGTCGTTAAAGGCTATATATGCTTATATATTAAAGGTATATAATTTAATAAATACTAAGCGGCTTAAGCGAGCTAAGTTTAATATTCTTTAGGCCTAGGTATATACTAAGGTATTTATAAAGGATACTATTTAATTTAGTTAGTATTAAATTTATCTATATCTACTTAACCTTAATATAATACTTAATCGCTAAGATATAGCTAATTATAGGCTAACTATATCTAATCTAGTACTAGAGAAGACTATAAAGTACTATATACCTAAGTATAAGAGTAAGTAGAAGTCGATAATCGATTAACTACTACGAGTTATACTTACCTTCTATCGCTAATAACTCTACCGGATTAAGCGTTAACTTAATATACTCGAGGCGAAGGCTAAACTTCTATGTACTAAGATATAAGGCTATAGGGCGATAGATAAGGATAAGGAGGGTACTTAGATACGTAATCGTATTACGAAACTTAATGATTCGATTATTACGTCCTTTCGTGATGTAGCAGTAGCCAGGGGTGGGACCTAGGAGGAAATTGACCTACTACTCGACCAGGAACCCACTGTATTCACTGTAATGCAAGGTAAGAAAAGGAAAAGGACGAAGAAATAGCGTAGGCAATGCAGAGATATGATTTACGAGTAAATGCAGTAGTAATGCGATCAATTCGTTGCGTGCGTTGTGGTGCGGTGCATTTCCGAAATGGTGGTGTTTCCGAAATGGTGGTGGATCGGGTTACTGCTTTCACCGTTTTGTTTTTGATGTTCGCTCAGGGCAGATACTGATAACTCTACAGCAGTGGCAGACCAGGATTTTTTACAGTGTGTGGCTCCCAAACAGTAATTTGGAAAAGGTTAATTCAATCTCTACGTTGAAGGAATTATTACTACGAGAGATACTGATATACATCTTGAAGTGCCAACCGTCATTGTCATGATTAGTATCACTTTTGACTAACTTACCATAATCATCATCATATTACCCTTTGTTCCGATACTCACATCATCCTCACCCTTCCGCTCCGCCCCTATTCGCAACCATACCACAATAAGATATACCGACACCCGCAGACTACTTCTAAGATCAAGCAGTTCCGGCACAAGACGTCCTTGCTATGGGCCCGTAGCTCAGTGGTAGAGTGTTCCCTTCGCATAGCTCATCGACTTCCACCCATCGGTCCGCTAAGGACCCTGGGTTATTTCAGAGCTGCTTCGTGTCTGGGAAAAGTCCTGCGTTCGAACCGCAGCTGGTCCAACAACTTGAAACTATTTTTTTTGGTCTTTGGCAAGGTTGGATGATGGGATACGTATGGTCTTTGTCAGTGCGCTTGCTGTATTAGGTTATATTTCTTTGAAGTTTTCCCGCTTGGTTCCTTTCCAGAGACAGCCTGCGGTTTTCCACTCCTAGTCTGTTGTTTAGTGCGAATTGTCTGACGACTGCTGTCCTTCCTGTTGTGTTCGGATCCACTATGACTTTTCCTTTGGATTGCGCTCACTTTTTCTGTCTTAGGAATCCTGTCGTGTCAGTATACTTCAAATTTCTCTTTTCCAAGTTCTGATACTTGTGAAATTGACAGCATTTTACCAGTCTCGGCCTTTTGCATACTCCAAATTCACCTACGCCACTTCCCTCTCGTAGAGGAGCTTTGCCGGTTGATAGCATTTAACACACGGTTGCATGGGTGATGGTGCATATGGCTTAGATGAGGAAAGTCGTTCATTCGACCTATAGCTGGTCCACACATTCCCTTTTCAACAATCATTCGCTTTTCCCGAAGCAAATTTTCCGGTGTTGAATGGACCAGGATCCGGTGTAGAGACTAATTGTGGATAGCTGCATGTTTAGTGACGGTTTTCTGGTTCCATTTCAGTCTGGCTCCTTGCGTTCACTACCTTCAGTAGGATGAGGAAGGTCTTAAAGCTGCAGAAGAAAACTATTGTTGGAAAGGCGGTTGGCCGGCAACAGCCTAGCGACCTTATGATAACCTTTCAGAGACGGTTTAAAATGGATCCTCAGTTGCTTTATGAACGGACGATGGTAGCTTCTGGGTGGGAAGTTGATGGTCGTGCTAATGAAGTCGGACTTTGAGTATATCTGACCGGGTCGTGATGATTACGATCAGAGCAACGATTTCGGTAAATAACAGACAAAAACAATTTCTACACCTGTTTTAGCCGATGTGACGACTTAGAGCCCTTCGAATAACAATTGCTTGCACAAACCCCCTCCCACCCTAACCACTTTTAGAGTCTTTGAGATTTCCACGTTCTCGAACTACTTCTGCCATATGAGAGCCCACATTAGATTTGAGAGACTGAAATCCTTGAACGACACCTTCTCTATCTCCCTTGCCCATCTCCTGACTCATTTTAAACTTGCCTTCAAGTCGGTCAACAGTAATCTCAATACCAATGATGTTCTTCTGGAGCAAGTGGATATACCTGTCCGGTGCGTCTGATACACTCCAGGCACCCGGTCTGTTATTGTCACCTGTGTAGCCCATAATAGAGCTCTCAGCATACTGCGAGAGGTCGCTTATTTGTGCCGAGAGAAAGGCAGTAGTCTCGTCAGAGTTTGATTTGTGGTAGATTCTGGCTCGACCATATGCTTGTACAGCAGCATAGTTCCAGGTTGGGACTACCTTACCGCTCTCAGGTTTTGTCTCAGTGTAGAATTTTGGAGTAACATAATGATGTACAGGGGAATTGAAGAGAATAAGAACCTCTTGCTCCAGAACGTCGTCTATTGCTGACGGCTGTGACTGCAGTGACTCAATAATGGCCTTGCTCTGTGGGTTTTGTCTAGCAATATGGCCGCGTAACGTTCCTAGTTCGTTTTCGTTGGTCTCGTCTTCGATGTCCAGGAGAAATGGAATATGGCTTGACTGAAGCAGGGGAAATATTTTAGATGGGATTGCGGTAGTCAATATGCCAAGAGAGTTGTCGCGAATGAGTTTGCGTAGCGTAGGGATCGTCGCGTCGGCGTGAATAGCACGTAAGTACCTGACAAAATGGCTAGCGAGGATAACTCCGTTAGAAGAAAAAAAGCAGGGCAATTTTGTGCTGAGCAAAGTGGTACCTAAGAGCAGTCCAATAATGTACAAATAGACCTGATTAACACTAGCACTTGCTCAGAGTCATAGTCATTTACTTGAGATTCGCAACGCCCTACGATCTCGTCAAGACATAAACTTTTCGTGCTCTAGAACGATACTCATCGGGCATGTCCGAAGCAAGTTCCTGACAATGTTGACACTCGTGCCGAAGTTCGGGTATCTCGACCAATCTCACGAAGGGCGTAGGCAAACGAATGTGTTCATTTTTGACAATCGGCGTTGAAAGTTTTCAGAAACCGCTATGTTTACACCTTTAAGGAGCACCATGTGCTGTCAACTACAACGATCTTCTGTGCCTTACAGTTCTACTGCTTTTGGTTCTACGCTTGCTTCATATTGCTCGCCTTAATCAACTGTGCAGTGACCACCAACCAATCATTCTCTAACAAAACATGGCGGAAACACAGCGCATACAAACATTTCTGGACGGTGCACAGGTAGCCTCGGAGGTCTTTGAGCTACGCCCAGATTATCGTGCGTTGTTGATGGTTGTGCATGGTATTACGCCGGGCCCCAGCGACAGCACCAGCGAAAGCCTGCTGCAGGAAGCTGAGACATCTGCTCGTGCAGAACTGAGCCAGCACCCTGTCACAGAGATCGCTCACATAGCTGCCTGGCGAGAAGCGTACAAAGCCTTTGGCGCCAAACCACAGCGCACTCGCAACAGCCTAGAGGCGCTGACCCGTCGTGTGGAGAGCGGTCTGCCACGTGTAAATCGATTGACGGATATCTATAATGCCATTTCGGTTAAGCACCAAATCCCGCTGGGTGGTGAGGATCTGGACAAATACAGAGGGCCGCCGCGCCTGATTCGCGCAACTGGCAAGGAGATCTTTGAGACGACAGCTAACGGCGAAACTGTGGTGGAGTATCCGGACGCGGGAGAAGTAGTGTGGTGCGACGATACTGGTGTCACCTGCCGCCGCTGGAATTGGCGTCAAGGTCCGCGTACTGCACTGACCGAGGACACCACAAGCGCACTGTTCATCCTGGATGTGCTTGAACCCGTCTCCGACAATGCTCTGACCACGGCTGCTGACGAGCTTGCCTCGGTATTGGAGCAGATGAGCCCGAGCATCCATGTGGCGCGTCGTATTATCGCCGCTTCCAAGCAGTGAAACTGGTTCCGTCGTGAAGCATGAAGCATGAAGCATGAAGCATGAAGCATGAAGCATGAAGCATGAAGCATGAAGCATAGGATATCACAAATCAAAAAGCTGATAACAAGGTGGATAACGAGCAGAATGATGTGAAAGGCGTTGGTGGACTGGATGTAGCGGATGATACTGCTATTGTAATGGGAAGGACAGCACAATCATGTAACAAGTTAGGTGAGAAGAAGACCGGCATGACCGAAACGGCGGAGGGTAAACGCTTACAGGCTTTGCCAGGAAGAATGTAAAGCTGATGGACAACGCTGCTCGCAACAGATAAAAGATACTGATAGATCCTGGTAAGGAAAAAGAAATGCGTGAAAGACATGTATAGAGCCAGGGGCTGGCAAGGATGGAGGAGCTGTGGTACATGCTGCTGACTGGTCGTATTCTGAAACTGAAACCGTTGTGTAGCGTCTATGCTGGGCATAACAAACGCCAAGAGGGAAGGAATGCATAGACCGATAGATAGCAATGGTAAGCGTAGTGCATTTAGCGCAGACGAAGAATCTTTCGAAGAGACTGCATTGCAAAGGACAATATATTTGAAGTTTTACATAAGTATTAATTATGCTCAAACGTACAACTACGCTCGGCGGGAAATCTTCCAAAATCTTGGCACTAGCCTTGCGCACACAAAAAAGTTAGCGTGATTGCATCCGCCCACAACTGCGCAGCGACATCACTTCCACCACCCTCTTCGCAACCGTCCGAGTACCCCCAAGCAAGTCTACGCTTTCTGAAACAAAACAGCCAATATGGAGAACGAAAAGGGAGAAATCGTCGATCTGTAAGTCTTAACTAAACCCAACCGCACCGCAAGCGATAGCGACTGTACCCTCGACACTACATCTACCGCAAACAATCCAGCTATCTCTCCATGCCCCTCCTGCGTTGCAACTTCATGTCCTCATCCTGTCTCAACCCTACACTTGAGCCTTCTACTGACGCTTTCGTCCAGCTACGTCCCCCGCAAATGCTCCGCAACCAACCGCATCATCAAAGCCAAGGACCACGCCAGTGTCCAAATTAGCGTTGGCAAAGTCGACGAGAACGGCCGATACACGGGCGAGAACCAGGTCTACGCGCTTTGTGGATTCGTACGATCCAGAGCTGAGAGCGATGATTGCATAAATCGACTGGCCCAGCGGGATGGGTTTTTGAAGGGAGTGTGGAGTGCACAGCAGACTCGATAAGCGGCACGATGACGAGCTAGGGAGGTGTTGAGAGGGAGCAGATAGACCGGGCGAGAGACACGAGCGAGAAAAGCGTCACGAAACTACGGACCAAGCACCTGGTTCGTCAGGAGCAGAAGCTTGATTACAGGCAACGATGATCACGAAGACTGTGTTAGCACATGCAAAGTGCGATGCATGGATGGGCAGGAAATGCTGTGGTGTATTCAAGTCTTATTGACAATGGCTGACGACGAAGAACAAGCATTGCCGGATTTCATGGCATTACGAACATGTTGCATAGACAGAGCATGTTCATTTCCATTTTCAAACGAGACAAGAACCTTTCAAACCGATTGTTGTTTAACTTTCTCGACACGCAGGAAAAATGCCTTGGGAGGCAGGATGTACGACACAACAAATAATCAGTGTCCTGGCCACGCGATAAGTGATGAACATAACTCCCACCACAGGCTGATAGGCATGATTTGACCATCCAATTCCGTGTTCACTTACCTACAGGTGATATGAAATCGTGAAATGTCCCGCCCGTATCTGTGCTCTAACCCGTGTTCTTTGAGATCACAGCTCATCAGTAAGCGGTCAATCTGATATTCGGCTGATTGTATGTATGATTTGTTTCTTCTACTTCTTCGACCATGGAGAGGGTTGAAGAAGCCTTGATGTGCCGGTGTTGCGATCCTTCTGCAAAGCAAAAACATGGAAAGAATGGGGGAAAGGGGGATTTGGCAACGGAAGGATGCAAAAATGGGTATCAATTCTTTTTTCTGCTTCTAGAACTTTTTGTCT